GGCTAGTGATTGGGTCGAAGTCACCATGCTGGTTTTCATGGTTGAGGTGAGGCTAGAACTTGGGTCTCCTGGTGATTGGCCCTCAGTCCCTCAGTCAGCTTACATGGCAAAGGCAGGACTAGAACTCACAGTCTCCTACCTTCTAGGTCAGGGCGAAAAATGGCCTTATGGCCAAACCGGAAGTCCATTCCTAAACTTCCGGTTTGTTCTTAGGGCTGGTTTTTTTGCACTCCGGAGCCTTCAGGGAAGCCTCCAGAGGCCGAAAAACAGCCTTCAAAGAAGGCCGAAGTCAGCTGGCCAGCCGCACATGCACGCTGGAGCTGACAGGGCAACTCCTCACGTACCCTAACAAATAGCTCCGTGCGTCACCTGTGGCACGCATGCTATAGGTTCGCTATCACTGTTCTAGGTAGTAGTCCTCAGGTTATGACTGCACATTCAGCCACCATGTAAAATTACAGTGATGATAAATGAGGAAACCAACTAGTAGCCCCATCAGGTGCAGCATCCCCATGTTCGCATTGATTGTAAACCAGGAGTTTAGCGCCTAGCTTGCAATTACAACGTCATGCAATTATATAGTGAATCATGGTCACATCATCACAATTTCTGATGTTCTGTGCATGATTCCAATTCAAGCAAAGCCAATGGGGAAGCCAGCAGGAAGTCTGGATTCATGCCATTATTATTATTTTTTTGGCCCAAAGGCCAAAAACTCAGTAGCACCTGCCCATAGATCTCAACCACAGTTCCTTGCCTGGGATTCCTGCCTCTTCCCACACTGCAATAATATCAAGGGTTTGTTTAATGAGTTGCACAATCCTGGCATTATATCAGTGTTTCTCAACCTTGGCAACTTGAAGATGTCCGGACTTCAACTCCCAGAATCCCCCAATTCTGGGAGTTGAAGTCCGGACATCTTCAAGTTGCCAAGGTTGAGAAACACTGCATTATATCAACAACCAGGACTGCTGGGATTGCTAGTGCTAACCTATGTGGTCACATGACCTGGAACTCTACAATTGCGTCTCTTAGCAATGGAAATTTCCAGTCCCAACTGCTGTTATAACTTGAGGACTACTGTGCTTATATCATTTCCCCCCACCCCAAAGAAAAGTTGGTTATGAGACTAGTGAAGACGTCAACTTTAAAATTTAATGGCTCACCTTAGATTCCTTCCACAATGCTGGCAGCAGAAACACATCTGGTGCATAGGAATATTTTGGACAACCAGGCGCCCTGTTGCGTAGACTGGCATGCAACATAATGCACATATTTCCTGTGGTTCTACCTGAAACAAGAAGGCAGTAGCAAATCCGGATGTTCAATAAACGATTGGAATTTTTATTGGGCTGCTCCATTAAGGAGAGGACAGAAATTGATAAGTTGCACCTCCAGCAAAACTGGCGGGGGGGGGGGGAACTACTGTATATAAACAGGAAGCAAACTTGCACTGATGATGTTACTTAGATGGGTAATGAAATGTCTTCTAGAACAACCAAGAATCACTGACTCATCAGTTGCAGGAACTCAGTCTGTAGATTTATGGAATGCAAAGGGAAGAAGGAAAAGGAAACACAGCTGCTATCAAGGCAATGTTCAGATAAGAGGGGCTTGAACCCAGGTCCCTAAAGTAATTTGAGAATCCCTTTCAGAACTTCTCCTGGTTCACCAAAGATAAAGGGAGGGAGGGAAAAACACATTCAGGTTTGCAAAATTCTGTGGTGTTTTTTTCAACTGTTACAATAAAAGAGATCCTGACCAGTACAGGAAATCCTCAACTCAACTCATCTTATTTAAGGCCACAGTTTTGGCCATAAGTTGTGACTATCATATAATGCAGTGGTAGTCAACCTGGTCCCTACCACCCACTAGTGGGTGTTCCAGCTTTCATGGTGGGCGGTAGGGGTTTGCTGTAACTCTGCTTTATAANTGAGTCAACCCTGAGCCGGTGAGATTTGAACAGCCGAACTGCAGAACTGCAGTCAGCTGAAGTAGCCTGCAGTGCTGCATTTAACCACTGCGCCACCTCAGCTCTGGTTCGGGTTCAGCATTGAACCGCAAGCCACTGAGAGAAATAAACGGACCAAATTTAAGCTCTCCTATGATTGCAGGGAGTTCTGACAAAAATGTATGGTTGTACGGATAACACTCAATTTGCAACTACAATTATGACCAAGGTTCCCCCCCCCTAAAAAAAGGGTTATTGTTAGCTGTGTTTGGTTTTTCAATTTCTTTTTACCAAGGTTGTTAAGCAAGTCACTGCAGTCGTTAAGTGAATCATGTCGTTATTAAACAAATCTTGCCTCGTCTATTGACTTTGCTGGTTGGAAGCTGGATCGGAAGATCAACAATGGGGATCACATAACTCCGACGCACTGCAATCATCGGAAACACAAGCCAGTTGTCCAGTGTCCAACTTTTGGTCATGTGACCATGGTGTCGTAAATGTGAGGACCAGCCATAAGTCTTTTTTTTTTAGTGCTGTTGTAACTTCGAATGGTGCTAAATGAATACCTGCATTTGGGTGTCTAGGAGAGCAGGGGTGAGCTTCAAAAATTTCAGAGAACCGGGTTCTCTGCCCAGTTGCTGGGAGGGCATGGCCATGGTGGGTGTGGCCTATTCAGCATCCTACACCATGGCGGGGGTGCGCAATTTGGCCTTCCCCAAGTTTTGGAGGCCCTCCGGGAGGCCTGCTTTTTCTCATTCCCGATCCTCCACGCAGGCAGTTACCCCGCATCCAAAACGGGCCACGTGGAGACTCCTGGGAGGGGAGGGGTGGGCGGGGCCAGCCACGGGTGGGATTTGGAGGTTCTCGGAGCCAGCCATAATGTTAGCTATGGGTTCTCCCAAACCCGGGTGAACTCATAGCAGCCCACCCTTGTATGGGAGCATTGACAAGAGTAGCACTTTATCGATTTGATTTTAAACATGATACGCCTAGTTGGAACTGTATAGGCACAGGGTTTCAAAGCTTATAGCAATTGTTCTTGTGGATGTCTACTCTCTGACACTTGTATTTGATCCTCTGGCAGATGTTGAACTTCAGCCGATCTTTCTATGGCCTTGCTCTGGAGCGTGTCTCGAAGGAGCTCGGGCATAGATTGAGATGGAATAAGCACTGGGTGGAAGCGGCTCTCTTCCATGGAGTAATTGTCATTAGCGGCTTGTTCAACATGCAGAGTTAGTTCAAAAGAATGATCTGAATTAGCCTCTGTCATCTGGAAATTTCCACTTTCTGGAGGCTGACTGTCTCTAAGGCTGCCCTCTTCGATTGTCATGTTTGGCTCCAACTCTGCAAATTGGGGGTGGCTGAGTCCCAGAAAGTTTTCTGAAGACCCTGAGCAAAAATGATCTTTCATGGATGTACGTTCTGCATCTGATCCAGGCGAGGATTCTGCATTCTCTTTCTCCGTTCTTCCTGATTCTTCCATCCCCTCAAAAGATGAAAGCATATCAGGGATCCAATTCTCCTCATCTAATGCCTGGGTTTCATCTTTTGCCAAAGGGTCTAGCAATGAAACATTTCCTGCCTTTAGCTCGAAATCTTGACTGTCCACATTGTCCAATTCCAGCTCAGAAAATGTATTTCTGCAAGAAACACTTGTCTCCACCGAAGTATTTGTAGGATATTGTGACGTGATCTGTGTAGACATCTCACAACTCTGAAAACTAGTTAGTGGTGATGAATTTTCAGGTTCCTCCGCTGTATGTTCTGTATTTATGTTTGATTGCCTGGGAATGTCAGGGGACTTTGATCTAGACTGCATTCTTGTGGGACTTGAAATCTCTCTTCCAAGCTCCAAAGAAACTGTTACGCTGTCCAAGAGTGGAGAATCCATGTTTTGATCTCCTTTTGAGCCAATTCCATGGCCCTCCACCGAAACTTGTGGGCCTACCTCTGAATTCCTTGTCTGGAGAACCACTCCAGAATTCTCATCTTCCTTGCAAAAATCAGGTTTTGGTAGCCTTGAGAAATGTGTAGATTGTAAATCTACTTTCCCTGAAAGTTCTCCTGAATCTATTCTTGGCCATTCCTTTTGGCTCTTGTCTTTATTCACTGAATGTCCAAACAGTGTTAGCAGAGCAGACTGACCCTTGGGTGCTTTTTTCGTTCCTGAAATTGGCTTTTGGCTGGGAATACTTCTTTGTGTTTTGGATGCAAAAAACTGAGCAAAAGGATTGTTGTGTTTTTTTAACGGTTGTTTTCTGGAAGACTTCGCTATAATATCTTGACTTGTCTTTATAACTGGGACACTTTCGTGTTGAGCTTTGATTTCCATAGTGACATGTCCTGTCTCCTGTTTTTCTATCAAATGTGGGACTTCACGGGAGGGAAGTACCTCTGGCTCTTTGGAAGAAGGCAGAAGACCGGTATCTCTAGAGGTATCTTCTTGGGATGCAGGTTCTAGGTTAGATCCACTGCTGGGTTTTGCTTGTAGCTTTTCATTTGTGTTTTGGATTTCAGGAGTAGGTTCTGAGTCACAGATCGAAGTGGCATGTTCTTGTAGGCTATTTCTTCGTAGAACTTCCCCACTTTCAACATCATCTGCTTGTGAGCTGGATAAGGAGCTACCACCTTCTATGTTCCCATCTGTGGCTGAAGAACTGGTTCTACCTTTAGCTTCAGTGTCTAGAGACCCCGAAAAGCATGTTGGAGTCACCGACCTGTCTGAAATTCCACTTGGGTTCATTTCATTCTTTTTATCTTCTTCACTTAAAGGGAGGGTTCCAGGAGAAAGTTGATAGTCCACACTTGGTCGCTTCTCAGATTGCGATATTTCAGTCTCTTCTCCAAGGAACTCATTCCTGCTCATCCAAGATGGCTTTGGTTCCTTGTTGGTTTTCATTGGATCGACACTGAAAACCAATGTCTTCTTGTTATGTTCTATTGGATCCTTTTTCTTTTCTCCATGCCCGGGAGAAGATACCAAACTTCCAGGCTTAGATTGGGAAGTTTTCTCATTTTTCATTGGTGCCATGGTGTTATAATTGGGTTCTTCTACATCTTTAGTTTCTAGCATGTCCAGCCTATTTTCCTGTCTGGCTTTTTGAAGTTTCTTCTTTGATCTCTGCTCCAGTGGTGGCACCAGAGCTGGTAACATTGTCCTGACTTTAGGAAGAGGTTCAGCCATCTCCCTTGGATTCTTCCCATCTGACGTGATCTTCCAGGAGGAATCTCCAACAGCTTTCTTTCCCCGGAAACTATCTTTTGCAAGTTGAGGAGCACCTAGTATTGTAGCTGCAGGTGTTACTGTGGTATGCCTAAGTGCACCTTCAGAAGATAGAAATGGACCACCAAGTGAAGACCTTGGAAGTTTCGGCGATAAAGGCGTGACCTTGGAAATGCTTCTTTCAACTTCAGATGTGTTAGGTTGAAATCTCCTGGCTTTTTCTAATATGCTGGACCCCACTTTCCTTACTTGAACTCCTACAATTCCTTTATCCACAAACAATTGCCTGCTTTCCAGTGCCCTCCATTCTTGACTTCCATGTACCGTTTTAATCCCATGCAAAACTCGGTCCCCACATTTTGGGCCAATGACTCTGGGAAGTTGGCTCTTCTTCTGTTCCCCAAAACTTTCCATTGTTGACTTATCTCCCCAGGTCTTGGGATAACTCCTGTCTGACCTTCGGGGGCCACGCAGAACCATTGGAGAATCTTGTGGCTGTGTTTCCTTTGTTCCAGATATCTCATGCTTTCTGCAAATGTAATTTTTAGCGTCTCTCTTTAAAGGCGAGCAGACAGTTTTAAACTTGCCTTGTGAGGTCACATCACTCTGGTTACCCTGGAGGTGTAAATTGAATGGTCTCTGTGGCATTTTCTCTCTGGCCAAAATCCTTCCACTTTTGGATTTAGATTCTTGTCTTGGATTTCTCTGAGTGCCCTTCGGTGGGAATTGCTGGTGGTTTGAGCTGAGGGTGGTGTTGGGAGCTCTTTTTCCTATAACTTCAGCAAGCAGCTTGGAACAAACTTTGCAGTAGAAAGCTCCTTGGAAGACTTCGTAGTTGAGCAAGCTGCAAAACACACATGGAGATGCATGGTTATTTCTATTATTAAATGCCATCTTTGGAAGCAAGACTACCATGGCAAGAAAAAGAATATGCAGTTTGCTAGGGGAAGATGGGGGAAGCGGTGGCTCAGTGGCTAAGATGCCGAGCTTGTCAATAAGAAGGTCGGCTGTTCGGTGGTTCGAATCCCTAGCACTGTGTAACAAAGTGAGCTCCCGTTACTTGTCCCAGCTTCTGCCAACCTAGCAGTTCGAAAGCATGCAAAAATGCAAGTAGAAAAATAGGAACCATCTTTGGTGGGAAGGGAAGAGTGTTCCGTGCGCCTTTGGCTTTGAGTCAAGCCGGCCACATGACCACGGAGACGTCTTCGGACAGTGCTGGCTCTTCGGCTTTAACAGGGATGAGCACTGCCTCCTAGAGTTGGGAATGAGTAGCACATATGTGCGAGGGGAACCTTTACCTTTAGGTGAGGATGAGCAGACAAGGATTAAGTACTTTATCAATATGAAAAGTTGCTTTTATTTTTGAAAAGGCAACTGATGTGATTTTTTTTTAAAGGAAGAAATAAAAAATCAACCCAGGTGCCTTTTCAAAAATTAAAAAAACCACTTTTGATATTACTATGTCTTGCCCAGGATGGCTGTGAATTTTCATAGACATTTACTCTTATCAATAATATCCTGTGTTTCTTGGAGACAAAACCAATAATCTAAACACTTGCAGATGAATGTCTAAGGAGAGTCTCAGTCATCCAGGTTGTCCCAAGGGTGGCTTTTCAAGAGGCAACTGGACTTCCTGTTTTTTTTTTCTTTGAAAATGTTTCACTTCTCATCCAAGAAGCATCTTCAGCTCTGACTGGATGTTTGAGAATGGACAGAGAGGACCTCTGGTTTGAAAGAGGGGTGAAAGAGACCATCCATGTCAACACTGAACAGCCCTCTTTCAACAGAGGGGTAGGGATACAACATCATCTATCCCCAGTTTACAACACAGTCCTTTCCCCAGTTCCAACAAGGCTCCACACCCATTTGAACTACTCAGGTGACCCTGAAGACACAGACAAACCTCCAGGTAGCCTTAATGATTCTCTAAAAGGATGCAAATGACCAGTTGTCTGTAAGGCGAGTAAATCTTTCCATTCCCCTCCATCCAGTCAGAGCTGAAGAAGCTTCTTGGGTGAAGAAGTGAAACATCTTCAAAGAAAAACTAAAAAGTCCAGTTGCCAATTGAAAAAAAACATTTTTGGGATGACCTGCAGATGGAAAAAAAAAACATAACTTCCCTGAAGGATTTACTTACTAGCCTTGAATTAGTGGAGGGATTCAAAGAATCTAACAACTGGTTTTCTGCTCTAATGACCATCTGGGTTGGCGGGACTTGCTGGTCATGTGACCGCATGGGCGTGGCCAACTCAATGTCACTCAGGTCAATGGGCGCTTCGCCTTAGCTGTGACAATGTAATAAGGGTTAATCAGAGAGGCAGTTTCTGTAAGCAGGGCAATAAAATTAGGCTAGAGACAATACTAGAATGTTTCCTTCCTGCCTTCCTTACAGGATTAGCCCTGCAAAGTGGAAAAAAACAAACGGAGATTTCTTCCCACAACCGGTTCTCTGAACTGCTTAGAAAGTTAACAACCGGTTCTCCCGAATAGGTGCGGACCGGCTGAATCCCACCACTGCCTTGAATGTTAACCAGTTGCCATCTCCTGATTCTATAGTTGGCTTTGCAAACCCATCTTTACTGTTAACACTGATTATGACCTTTCTATTTGAAAAAGTTGACACCGTAATAACTTGACTCCCCAGCTCTTTTGAAGGAAGTTGAGGAAATTCTTCCAAATTTTCCAAAAATAGACAAACAAAATCATGGTCAGTTCCCACTCCAATCATATCAGTGAGGTCAGCAATCATTTTATATATTTATTCATAAGGTAAAGGTAAAGGTTCCCCTCAAATGTATGTGCTAGTCGTTCCCGACTCTAGGGGACGGTGCTCATCTCTGTTTCAAAGCCAAAGAGCCAGCGGTGTCTGAAGACGATTCCGTGGTCATGTGGCCGGTATGACTAAATGCCGAAGGCGCACGGAGTGCTGTTACCTTCCCACCAAAGGTGGTTCCTATTTTTCTACTTGCATTTTTAAGTGCTTTCCAACTGCTGGGTTGGCAGAAGCTGGGACAAGTAACAGGAGCTCACTCTGTTACACCATGCTAGGGATTCAAACCACCAAACTGCCGGCTTTTCTGATCGACAAGTCCAGCATCTTAGTCACTGAGCCACCACATTCCTTATTTATTCATACCCCAGCTTTATCCTTTTGTTTTTGTAAATAATTCAAGGTGGTAAATATACCTAATACTTTTCCTATCATTCTTCCCCTGCTCCTTTCTAGATTGTAGATTGTAGATTTAATTTATTTGTATGCCGCCCTTCTCCGGGAGGGACTCAGGGCGGCGAACAACTC